AGCATGAGTTGTTTAGAGCAGAGATACAGGGAGGAAAGAGTGTGTCAGAGACAGCATGGGAAGGGCTTCAAAAAAGTGTAAGTGAGGGCCGGGCGCCGTGGCTCACGCCTGTAATCCCAGCACTTTGGGAGGCCAAGGCGGGTGGATCAGGAGGTCAAGAGATCGAGACCATCCTGGTCAACATGGTGAAACCCCGTCTCTACTAAAAATACAAAAAATCAGCTGGGCATGGTGGCGCGTGCCTGTAGTCCCAGCTACTCAGGAGGCTGAGGCAGGAGAATTGCCTGAACCCAGGAGGTGGAGGTTGCGGTGAGCCGAGATCGCGCCATTGCACTCCAGCCTGGGTAACGAGAGCGAAACTCCGTCTCAAAAAACAAAACAAAACAAAAACAAATGTAAGTATTTCATATCAATGAATGGAGAAGATTTAAGTGAGCTGAAGAAATAAATTAAGTTTGACATTAAATTTGACAATTAAGAGATCGTTTGTAACCTCAGAAAAGCAGGTTTAAGGAAATTGTGGAGGACTCAGCGTGGCTGTCAAGGGCAGAAAGGACTTTGAGCAGTAGGAAGAGAGGGGGCGCGGGGCTGGGGAACTGCTTTCAAAGATGGAGGCAGTTGAATGTGTTTATGCACTGGAGGAAGGAAGCTCCGTTAGGTGGAAGAGGTGATGTGATTTCACCGTCCAGTTAAAGGGTCTAGGACGACTGTGAGGTCAGGCTGTGGAAGGACCTCGATCATCACCAGGCATCAGTTCTTGCTTCATAAAGCTCAGTGTCAAGCTGAGGCAAGCAGGGCCTGAGGAGCTAGAGTCTGTCCCCGCGGCTGGCAGACATCAGGCTCAGAGCGCACGTCCTGCTCAGGAGAGGTCAGCACAGCCCTCAGGGCTGATGCAGTAGAAAAAGCCCATCTTCGCCCTTGATATGGTTCCCCTAAATAACCTCTAACCCAGATGGTGCCTTGGACACGCAGCTCCATCCAGCATTCCCTGCACGCCAGGCTGTTCTTCCCCTGCCATGCAGGTTCATGCTTCCAGCAGTCATTCCTGCCTCCTCTCTGCCAGAACAGCTGTGCCGTGACTGCTGCCAGCTCTGTCTGTGGAGTAAACTGCATTTTCAGGCCTCATCATCTCACCAGGATACAATGAAAGGATGCTGGTCAAAATAACAGCAGTCTCTGGCCTGCAGCCCCCACCAAGCAGGATTTCTGGCATGCAAATACGTTCTCCTTCCTCTCCAACTTTCCTTTCCAGCAGCAGGAACTGGGTTTTCACACATCCTCCCACAGCCATGAGTGGAATCGGAAGTCGCAGCACAAAAACTGTCCTCGCTGCTGTTTCGGGGGTTTGTCACCACCAGGAGAGGCCCTTCTCTGTCACCACTGAAACTGGCCTTCCCACCCCCAGGCTCCAGGCTGCTCCACTGAGCCTGAAGGAGGACCCCCCCAGTGCACTCCAGCTCTTCTCTTTGGCCCTAAACAAGGTTGCTTTGCTTCCTCAGAACCTTAAACAAGCTCTGCATTGCAACATTTTGACTCTCTCAGTTTGACAGCCCTCTTTCTGTTAGAACTGGGATCACTTCGACTTAGAACTGTGTCCAGAGACAATTTTTATGATGTTGTTGAAATCACTCCCTCAATCTTTATTCCTTCCAGTGCTCCAGCATGGTACCAGGACTAAGGCAGTGTATCCCAGCTGCTCTTCTCACCTCCCCTATACTCTGTGAGAGGGTTGGAAGCAGCCTGCTCATGACTGACTCCTTCACATCTAGCATGCCACGCTCTCCCTCCGTGCTTGAACAGGTCTGGAATTCTCCAGTGGATGCATCTCTTGGAGATTCTCATTAGGGACTGGCATTGAAAGCACCTTCAGAAGCCTTGAAGTCAGCTGTTCCCTATGCTGCTTTCCCAGTACAGAGGGCGAGCCTCTCTGATTCTCCCATGTCAGTGGGAAAGGGGAGCATGCTCAGAAAGGCCAGTTCTTCAAGTGAGCAGGAATCTGCCATCTGCAAGCCATGGTTTGCCTTTTAGCTTCCAAGGGAAAGTCCAGGAGTGGATTTTCATTGAAGGCACTGCTCAGCTGAGGAGCAGACTACTCTGAGAACCAACCACCTGCCTCTGTGTAAAGCTGGTGGTTTACGTTAGGCAGGCAGGTTTGTGTATTGAGTGTCGGGCTGGAACAGAGCTCTGGGAGGCAAGACAGACACACAGTGGTCTCACTTGCTGTTCAGAATCTCAGAAACTGGAAAGATACCTTTTGGCTACCCGCAACTTTTTAGAATTAATGCCAATTTTTCAGCAGGCAGGTAATTTAGTGACATAGGAGGCATGTCACCATGGATATTTAATTTCATGTGTGCTTTCAGAATCTTCTGATGTGAGTCATTTTCTAACAGTTATAAATAATGGTTAGTCTTGGAAGGTAAATGTGCTTGCCACCATTTTTAGAAAAATGTAGAAAGCAATCCAAAATGTTATATCTTACAGCCCAATTTTTCCTGTGGTACTTACATCTTACATAGAGCAGCTTTTTTTTTTCCCAGAAGACATCCTATTGACTCTGTCTGATTTTCAGTTTCCTTACAATGTGACATAATGGAAATTTGTTCACATATGGTGGCTAAAACTCCTTTGAGGTTCAAATAAAAATAATAGAAAGAAATATACAAAATAGTAATTGGTGAAGTATTATGGGCAGAAGAAACGCCACGGGTAGCAGGATCACACACAGATCTGGATTAGAACTGGTTACACCATCTGCTATTTATGGGACCATCAACTATACTTCTTTTTTCTTTTTTTTTTTTTTTTGAAATGGAGTCTCGCTCTTGTTGCCCAGGCTGGAGTGCAATGGCACAATCTCAGCTCACTGCAACCACCGCTCCCCCAGGTTCAAGAAGTGATTCTCCTGACTCAGCCTCCCAAGCAGCTGGGATTACAAGCATGCCTCATCACATCCAGCTAATTTTGTAATTTTAGTAGAGACAGGGTTTCATCAAGTTGGTCAGGCTGGTTAAACCCCTGACCTCACGTGATCTGCCTGCCTCGGCCTCCCAAAATGCTAAGGATTATGGGCGTGGGTAGCCATGCCCAGCTGAACTATCCTTCTTTAACCTTATAAGCAAACATAAGATTTCTTATAGGTGAAATGGGAATAAAAATACCTACTTCTCATAAGATGCTTGTGAGGATTAAATGAAAAACACATCTAGCACTAGCCCAGATCATAATAGATGCTCAATAATACCAGTTACTTTTTTGGTAGGGTGATAGATTTGTGAATATGTTTTCCTTCTATTAGCCAAACCTCCTTTATCAGTGTATTATCTCAAAAATTTAAATATTAAAGAGTAAATGATGTTATGTATATGGTTATTTTCCTAACCTTGTTATTCTAACTAAAGAACAGAAGGAAATGAAAAAATGTGTTTAAAAAGTAACGATGTTAGCTATTCCTTATGCCAAGTGCTGAGCAACTGTAATACTGTTACCAGTGTAGCATAACAATTTTACAAGTGGTGTCTTTCCAAATGAGAAGAAGAATAGCTACTTATTACAATTTGTAACTTTGCCAGATGCAAGGCTAAGTGCTTTTATGCATAGTCTCATTCACTCCTGGCAACTCCTCTATGAGGTAGGTATTATGAGCATTTGTTATGTCATAGATGGGGAAATTAATGACAAGAGCTTTTATGTAACTTTCCTTCTGTGATTCAAGTGCTAGATAGTGGTGGTAGAATCCAAGCGTGAGTCTATTTATTCCAAACCTGTGATCATAGCCACCAAATGGTACATCACTTCCATCTTCAGTGTGTGACATTTCATTAGAACTTGACCTAACGCAGTTTAACCTCCACCTGCCATTCTGAACACTTCCTGGCACTTGTACAAGTACAGCCCAAATAGCTACATGTGAGAGGAGAAAGAGCACTGGCCTGGGGACCAGCTCTGTGGCTTCTAACCCTGCTTCTGCTGCTTGCGAACTGTCCATCTTTGGCCTATGACTTACCCTCTCTGAGACTACATTTCTTTACCCGTAAACTGGCAATTAAGGTTCCTTCTCTGCTTACTTGGAAAAGAGGTGAGTAGTTACAAAGACTGTCCATGTCCTCCAGCCAGAACTACTGGGAACACCGCTCCATGCTGATTTGTGTATTACTGGAGTTGAATGTATTACTCATTACAGTGAGAGAGAATGTCACCATAGGAGACTGTAGGGCGTTGGAATCTGAGAGTGTGAAAGGAAGTATAATATTATAGGATGTGGGCTCTGGTTGGGTGCTTTCAGGGAGGGGCTAATGAACAAAGAGTTCATTCTGGATTGTTAGGGACAGTGCTGTGACTGGATATCTTCGTAAATCTTATGTATAGAGAGGGCAGACTGGAGTGAGACTAAAGCTGTCATGGGTAAAGAAGTAGTCTTCATTCATACGAGCCAGGAGAAGGGGCCATGTAGCCTTTTGTGATTTTACAAGGACCTTGTTTTGTCTGTGCATAGAAGTGATGAAGGGGCTCTGTGTTTTCTCACTACACCATGGTCCCAGCATGAGCACGTGTTACTGTTCTGTGAGATGGTGCCTGGCAGAGCAGCATGGCTTTGCTGTGAGCCCCTAGCCAGCTTCTAACAACATCGAGGCCTGGGGGACGCAGCAAGGCCAGCTCCTGGATATCAGGGCTACTTTTCTCCCTCAAGACCAAGTGAGACAATGTAAGCAAAAGAAGCAAAAGAAAGTTTTGTCAATTACAAAGTGTTATGAGAATTAAATATATATATATATATATCTCAAGGCTGAATGCTGGAGTTTTTGGTTGCTATTAAAATTAGAAAGAAGATCCCCTTTCACCTTTTACAACCGAAAATTAAGTAGGTGTTTCCTGCAAATTTGGGGTAACAGAAATATTAACTTCTCTCAAGAAATAAGACAAGTGCTGCCCTTGAGGGCTCAGGGAAAGTGGAAGCACCCTCCTCACTCAGTCTGTCTTCTGTGGTTATCTGCCTCTAGGTCGGACTCATCTCAGGTGCAGTCTTCGTGATCCTCGGATTGACTGTTCTGGCAGTGGGCTTTCTTGTGCCCCCTAAAATCGAAGCATTTGGTGAAGCCGATTTTGTGGTGGTCGACACGCATGCTGTCCAGTTCAACAGTGCTCTTGACATATATAAGCTGGCAGGAGCCGTTCTCTTCTGCATCGGGGGCACGTCCATGGCAGGGTGCCTGCTGATGTCAGTGTTTGCAAAGAGCTACTCCAAAGAAGAAAAGTTCCTCCAGCAGAAGTTTAAAGAACGAATCGCAGACGTCAAAGCCCACACCCAGCCCATTACAAAAGCTCCGGGGCCAGGGGAAACGACGATTCCAGTCACTTTGTCCAGGGTTCAAAATGTCCAGCCTCTATCGGCAACCTGAAATCTTTCCCACCCCAGTTCTTGTCTGATTTATGCCTGTGGTTAAAAGCAGCAGGCCGATTTTTGAGAGGAAGAAGATGTGGCATGGACTGCCCCAAGGCTGTGTTTAGCTGTGGGCAGCACGGTGGGTGGACTCACACTTGCCCAGTCCAGGCGGCTCTGGCAGAGGTCAGTGCCATGCCTGAGTCTGTGCACAGGCATCCAGCTGCTTAAGACGGGTGCTTCCTTGTGCCTGGCCACCAGGAGCCCCTGGAACTCCTCTTTCATAGATTGTGACTCTGTGTTATTTTCCGTGTTATTTGAAAGTGCCGAACAGTTTAGACCAGCTCACCAATGGCTAATGTGGTTCACTTTATTTTCTAATGTTGGTTTATCTAATCTTTCTTTCGTGGTGCTGTCTTCCATTCCTGTCTCTCTACGTGTAAGATTTTGTCATGTGTGTTCATAGAAACGTGGAATTTTTTTATTTTGATCTGAGTATGTCTTTTAACTGTATCATGACATGAGGTTCCTGACATTGAATACAAAGTTATCAGCATTCACAAATCTTTTTGTTTTCTCCATGGTTTTTTTTTTTTTTCCTTTGAGATGAAGTGCTATTCTTTTGCCCAGGTTGGAGTGCAGTGGTGAAATCATAGCACACTGCAGCCTCGAACTCCTGGGCTCAAGCGATCCTCCCACCTCAGCCTCCCAAGCAGCTGGGACTACAGGCACCTGCCACCACCCCCGGCCAATATTAAAAAAAAATTTTTTTAGAGGCAGGAATTTGCTATCCAATTTTTTTTAAAAAGCTAAAATTGCCAACTTTCAAGTCTTGATAAAAAAATTAATTTTAAGAGAGTCTACTTATGCAGTGTTCCAAAGTACTGAATTAGAAACCAGGAAATTTTAGTTTCTTCTACTACCTGTGTGATCTTGGGGAAATTATTTAACCTCTCAGACCTCATTTTCCCCTTCTGTATAATGGGAGTCCTGGATTATAATATGTCTAGGCTCTCATCACTCAAACATCCAAGATTCCATTTCTGTGGAATTTTGTTATATCATCGAGTCTCTCCCCAACAGATGTTTGTAACGTTTTGTGGCTCTCACGCATGGTGGGTTCTTTCAGAATTAGACTCCTGGAAAGCCACTGAGTCAGCAGCCTTCACACTCTCTACCCTTAAATAGTCAGCCCCAGCAATGTATACAATGCCGTCATATTTTTATAAAAACAAAAGTAAGCCATCCTCAAATAAGGAAGCCCTTGGTGGATATTAACCTTAAAAAGGGTTTTTGTTCTCAAACAAGATGCTTTGTGATCCAGCAAGACGTTCATCTCATCCTTGCACTTTTGTTTAATTTGTGGATTCAGAGTAGACTGAGGAAAATGGAAAATGTGACCTTGATATTTTCTTAGAATTGTACCACCTTAGAGCCATGTCTTTTTTTTTTTTTCCTTCCTCCACTGGATAAATAAAATATGTAAACGAGCGGAACCTGGATTGCATTGTCATTTCTTCAGTGTGGTTATTCTCTCTCCAACATGTAATTTTCCATTCTGAGACTGAATAAGCTCTGATGTTTCCCCGGCTAACTGGAAGAATAAATGAAGCAATTAGTACTCTTTGTGCACAGTGTTTATTTTGCACAGTCCAGCATAAAACACAGGGCAAATCAGTATCCTCAGCAAGGATCATTGGCCAGATTTTGGAGATATTGTTCCAGCTTCCTCAGGTTCTCTATCTTCCAGTGGAAATACCATTTGAATTTTATTCTGTAAAGACTCATCCAAGCCCCGAAGCATCTGTTCAAGGCAACATTGTTTGAAGCTCTCCCTGCTTGCCTCTGTCTTGTGTACCAATGAATCTTTGAGACGAGACTTGACTTGTAAAAACCTCCAGAATTAAAAATTATGGCTGGTGGGGCTTGGAAACTTCTAGGTACAGACATAATAGCAACTATTTAAAAGGTGGCTCAATTCCTCAGATAAAGGCATAAAAGAAGCCAAGGTGGTTACAGTGGGAGCTGGGTCTGGAAGAGCAACTCAGCATGCCCCGTCTTTCCTGTTCAGCCCAGGCTTCATGGAAGCAGGTACTTTGTAAGGACCCTCCCACCCCATGAGGCAAGGACTGGGCATTATTGTGGCAGAGCAGAGAAATGTGGCTGAACTGCATTAGGAATACAGTTCGCTCTTTGGAAAGAATGCAGGCTGTATGTAATCAGAGGCTGGGAAGCAGTGGACTACACTTTTTTTTTTTTTTTTTTTTTTGAGACAGAGTCTTGCTGTGTCTCCAGGCTGGAGTGCAGTGGTGCAATCCTGGCTCACTGCAACCTCCCACTCCTAGTTCAAGCCATTCTCCTGCCTCAGCCTCCTGAGTAACTGGGATTACAGGTATGCGCCACCACGCCCAGTTAATTTTTGTATTTTCAATAGAGACAGGGTTTCACCATGTTGGACAGGATGCTCTTGATCTCCTGACCTTATGATCTGCTTGCCTCGGCCTCCCAAAGTGTTGGGATTACAGGCATGAACCATTACATCCGGCCAGACAACACATTTTTTAAAGATATTTTCTGGCCTGGATTGGGCAGACATCTCAATTGTATGGCAGACAAGAATGACCATAGAGCCTTGATCCCAGCCTGAGTGCTTACACTGAACCAATCCTTCCCTTCAGTATTGACACTTCTAAAACAAAGGGAAACCACATTCCTATGATGCTAAGATGGCAACTGGAGAAATTTAGAAATGGGTTCTGGCCCAGAGGTCAGGTACTCATGGGCACTTGGAGTGACAGAAACCTTAGATGGGGTTGTTTGGTTTTTTTATTGAAAATTTGTTTAAGTTCTTTGTACAATAGGAAAGACTTGGAACCAACCCAAATGCCCATCAACGACAGACTGGATAAAGTAAATGTGGTACATATACACCGTGGAATACTATGAAACCATAAAAAAGGATGAGTTCATGTCTTTTGCAGGGATATGGATGAAGCTGGAAACCATCATTCTCAGTAAACTAACACAGGAACACAAAACCAAACATCATATGTTCTCACTCCTAAGTGGGTGTTGAACAATGAGAACACATGGACACAAGGAGGGGAACATCACACACCTGGGCCTGTGGGGGGAGAGGGGCTAGGGGAGGGACAGCAGGGGGTGGGGGCATTAGGGAGGAGAAATACCGAACATAGATGATAGGGGCGATGGATGCAGAAAAACACCATGGCACGTGTATACCTATGTAACAAGCCTGCACGTTCTGCACATGTACCCCGGAAGTTAAAGTATAATTAAAAAAAGAAAAGACAAAAGAAAGAAACCTTAGATAATATGGGCCCACCCCAGGCAGATGTTTTCCCACCCCTTTGTCAATGCTCATTGGCATCTGCTTCGGTACTTCCAGGGACCCCATGCCTACTGTCCTACAGCTGAGCTGCTACATCTGATAATGGCTCTATATGGCTAGGAAACCTGACCTCATGTCTTCCCAAACTCTGCTTTGCTAAACCTTCCACACATTGGATAATATTTCATAATTCAAAGTTACCTTGAAGTCTAATCCTCTTACATGTGACCAGTGAGCTCTTTATTTCAATTTTATCACCTCCCTATTTGCCTTCTTCAGAGAGATATTTCTATACATTTTTAATGTTCCCAATTTAGTTAATGCCACCTATTAAAAAGGGTCCAGAGGTTTTAGGAATTATATATGTCAGAGGTTCCCTAACTTCATTAATAGTGTTACTGTGTGCACGGTACCTCAAGCAAGAATACAATGACAGAAGGCTGTGTAAGCAGCTTCTTCGTGGGCTCCCACGGCCTCCTGGGATCTGGCCAGCTCCTTTCTGGTTTTATTCTAGTCATATCCAATCACACTCCCGTCTCTAAATGTGCCTGTACTTTCATGCCCCTATGCCTTCATTCACAATGCTTATTTTCCCAAGAATAACCACCTGCCTATTACCTGGTTATAAACTCATCATTTGAGGCCACATCAAGAAATAGTAGCAATAATAACAATAACTAACCTGTATTGAGTGGGAGGCATCATTGAAGCCTTTCATATGTATCAATTCATTTAATTTTCAGAAACACCTATGAGGTCAAGACTAATATCACGTACCCATTTTACGGGAAAGGAAACAGGCAGAGAGGATAACTCATCCAAGGGTTATCAGTAACTGACACAGGGAAGATTTAAATTCAAGCAGCCTGGCTCCAGAGACTGTTCAAGTTAAGCCACTATACCATGTTCTTCTGCCTCCAGAAATGCCACCTTTTCTCTGCAGCTTCTCCTTGCTGTCTCTCTCTCTCTCTCTCTCTCTCTCTTTCTGTCTGTTTCTGTCTCTCTCTCTCTCTCTCTCTCTTTCTCTCTCTCTCACACACACACACACACACACAGAGGCTCAGACTTAATGTCTCTTCCTCAATAAATTCGGCACTTCATACAAACACATTCTATCCCACTTATCTCTCTTAACGATGGTGATTTGTTTACACATCTGTCTTTCCATTAAAGGCTGACTATTAGCTGCTTGGATACAGAGAGCATATCTTAATAAGTGGTACACGCTCAGAATCAAATACGTAACAGCTATGTGTTACTATTATATGGCTACTTAAAACAATTACTGCACTTTTATTCAGAGCTAAGCAACGTGCTGGCACAATAAAGGGATGATGAGTAGGGGCACTAATGTTTTTGCATATCGTGTGTGTGTGTGTCTGTGTGTGTGTGTGTGTGCGTGTGTGTGTGTAACGAAGAAAAATGATTTTCTAGGGAGGACTAAGCTAAGAGTATGAATATGGGTTCCCCAAAGCAAAGCTTCCCTCAACATAACATTTTAGTGGGAGAAGCCCAGTCTGATGACTAGCTCACCACTTCTATATCTAAAAGCAAAATCTTTCAGCCATCGAGTCTTGCCTGTGACACAGAGCTATCGGTCATACTTCTCACGCCAGCAAGAGACTGATGGAACAGCTAAACCCACCTGTCCAAGAGCAGAGTGAATTGTTTCCAGCAGTCCTGAATAAACAATCTGGTCTTTCATCCTTAAATACGAAAGTACAACCTGAGCCATCTGACGTCTGTGAAAAACCAGCACCTTGAAGGAGGACATACACAGGGAATAATAGACTTGGTGGGAAATGTAAGTACTTCAGAAATCACAGAACTCTAAACACAATCTCATTAGTCTTCAAAAAGAAATTAAAGCCGTAAGATAAAAATAGAATACTATGAAAAAGAACATCAAGTAGCTCAAAATAACAAATAACTCAAAGAGTAAGTTGAAAGTACGTCCTGGAAAGTAAAATAATCCCTCATTTAAAAAAATAAAAAATATGAGACAATTGGCAAAGACATACAAATTCAAATCAAGGAGAAAAAGATAACAGAAAACAGTAATAGGGAAGAAATTATCAGTAAAATAATAGAAAAAAATTTTCCAAAGCTATAGGATACAAAAAAATCTTCAGATTGAAAATGCCTGCTGAAGACTGGGTACGGTGGCTTACAATTGTAATCCCAGCACTTTGGGAATCCAAGGTGGGCAGAT